AAAAACATATTACCAGCAATAAAAATTTCGTCGGCATTAAATAACCCATTGAGGTTGATATGCCGTACAACAAAAAGCAAACCAAACAAGTAGCGTCTATTATAGTGATTTTCCAATCGTAGCTTAGATGTGGCACAAGGCCTAAATCATGGAGCACCCAGTGGGGATCGAACTCGCTATTCGGTCGTAATTGTTCTAGCGAGACAAGCTTGCTAACCATTACACCGCCTTGGGGCGGGCAGGTAGCGTCTGTTATATGTGTCTCTTTATTTATCCCCCCACCCCCGGTAAAAACGGAATAGTCCATTATTTATGAGGTATTGACAGGAGACGTTAAACACTTCTATCTTCGCATTGGCACCTCGATGTGGTGTAATGGTTAGCAAGCTTGTCTGGCTAGAACAATTACGACTGAGTAGTGAGTTCGATCCTCACTGGGTACCCCTAACTTTCTGCCTTGCGCCACATCTGGCCTACGCTTGGAAAATCACTTCTATCGTCGCATTTCTTTCTTTGTTTCATTCATTTTTCTCACTGAATTCAAGTACCGTCTCCGGTATGTATGTCTTTTTCATCTTTCTCATTATTTATGAGGTATTCGATGTGCCTAACGGTCGTGCTAATTAAGGAAGGGACATTATAATAAGATTGCAGAACTCCTTATCGTTTTGAGTAGAGTTGTATTTTTTTTTATTTGTTTTTATTTAGAATTCTGACCGCAGCGCGAAATATTTTTTAAAGTGATCTTGAGATGACATTACAATAGAAATTGGCTTTGAATAATTAATTCTGCTTTTGAACCAACCTAGAAATGCAGAATATGTCTTTAAAAAAAATATTTTCTTTTATTACATCTCAATCTATTCCAGTCCATTCTTTTGTCAGCTCATAGTTTGATTTACCACTTCTTTTCTTCTTCTTTTTCTTTTCCTTTTCTTATTTGCTTCCAATTTTTGAAGTTAACATTTTTTTCTGTTGATTTGAAATTTAGACAAGCAATTCTATTTCCGAGACCGTTTCCATCTTCTTCTGATAAAAAGTAAAGTCGATCAGTGATAATTCCTTACGATTTTTTTTTATTCTTTACCAAGATTCGTATCATAAACATACATAAAAATAACACAGTTTAAACGCTTAGACAAATTAGATTAGAGTCGCTTCGAGGCAAGACATTTTTTTTCAAATTATATTCTGCTTATTCTAAATTACAGTTTAACGTCTCACGTCCATTTGAGTGAAAATTTGGCACCTCTCTTTTTTAGAAGCACCCCCTTCATTCACACATAAAAAAAAAATCAACACAATGAAGAAGATACGTACATGAATAATAATAGCTGCCACTATGACCATCGCCATATTTATTACAAGACTCAAAATAAAGACACCATGCCCGCGCATCACATTTTTAAAGTAAAAATAGACTGGGTGAACTCCACTCTTTAAACAAGAACGATGGTTACATAAAAAAGGAAGAATTATTCACGACAAGAACATTAGATGCTCTCAAACCGCGTTCCTTATACCAGAGATTTCCCATCTCCGAGCCAAGTAATAGATTAAGAGACACGGTGGATTAATGAATAGCGGCTCGGTTTAAGAAATCGGAAACTCGAATTCGAATCCAGTCGAGTTCACTTACGAGCTGATATTCTTCGAACAAAGGTTGGATATATATATATATATATATATATATATATATATATATATATATATATATATATAATATTCAAAATATATATATATATATCTTCAAAAATTTAAATGCAATGCCGATCACTATCTGCTGTCTTCCTAGATACACTTCTCTTGGTTTTGCTCCTTAGTAATATTTCTGTTTTCTAATTCTTCAAAACCCATTAACCCCTTCTGTAGTCGTTGGCCGGTTGTATCCGAGTGTGCTTGCCTGCTAGGGCACTTAGCCAATCTCTTAGCCATTATCAAGGGCAATTTTTATCTTCTGAATTGCAGAAACTCCTAGACAACTCCTAATTAGTAACGGAAAGCAAGAAGAAAGGACTAACTATTAACTGCAACAAGAAGAATACATGGTTGCTAGTAAGAAAGACAACCCACAATGTACTGGAGACGTCAAAGCAAAACATAAGTAGTAAAATGTAACTACATAAGTGTTATATGAGACTACGAATAATGTGACAACGAAATCCGAAGATGCATTCGAAGATCTAAAGATGCCTTCCAAGAACTAAGCAAAGTATTAAGAAACAGGAACGTTCTTTAGAAACAGTGGAATTATTGCTGAGCTGCTACGTAATATCAATCCTATTATATGACATTGAATGCTGGAAAATTTCCTCATGGATAATGACGAGGCTTAAGACTAAAGAGATGTGGTTCTACAAATGGATGCCGGGAATACCATGGACTGGGCGCGTGAGCAACAATTAAATTTTAAGGAAAACGTAAAGTAAAATGGACACTCATCCTTAAAATCGGAAAGAGACAGTTGAAATTTCAAGGACAAATGAGAAAATAAGTCTTGGGAAATTTAATAATTTCACAGGACATATAATGAAGACAAGAAGACCAGTGAATAAACATCGTGTAAACTACCTAAAAATCCTGTGTAAATGGCCGACAGAATATGAACAGGAGGAACAGTACAATGAAAAACAATACTCAGAGTTACAAAATATAGTAAATTGTGGAGAGCCGTATTATTTAAATCCATTATTGGAAGGATTTAAAGCTTTATTAATTTTTGACGTCTATTTCTTCTATAATTTATATTTTGTTTTTTTTTTTTAAGACATATCAACTCCTTGCAGGTTATTTAAAGTCAGAATTTATTTTTTAGATTGTAAGAATGTTTTTTTAGATAATAATGGTTTAGTGATATGCATAATTAATTCATCTATAGCTGGGGGAGAAGAAGTGGATTCACAACTTTCTCAGGGATATTTGCGCGTAATTAAATGTAACGAACCCAACGGGAATTGGAACTCAGCTCTGCGATCAACAATTCCTAGTCATTATCCATTATAGCATCCTCACATGCAAGCTTACAGCACCTGATATTCCCAATCTTCCCAATTCACCCATCTACGTTGCTTAACTTCGGTGATCGTACGGAAACCAGTGTTTCAATATGATGTGGTCGTAAGCCTTAGATGAAGAGTTAACACTATATGCATTACTGTTGTGACTAACATACTTATTTTGTTTGTTGGACTAACGCCGTGTCAGTCGTTCTTTCCGTCTTCAAACAGCTGTCATCGTTCTCTGTGTAAATAGTAGCTTAGCAAACTGTTATTTTTTAGAGAAGTGTATCTCTGCTCGGACTTTCTGACGTTGACCTCTGAGATCAGATGCAAGACAAAACAAGGGAAGTCGATTTTGATTGTCTGAACGAGCGCGGGAATGATAGAGATATAGAAAGGGTTTCCCAGGAATCGAGTCTAAACCGTCAAGCAATGTAGACGTGTTCTCTATCGTATCTGAAACGGCGTCCCAGTGGGGAGAGAGCAACCCCATTGGATAGTTAGAGATGTATATGTCGACGTTAATAAAATAGCAAAGTTCATATTCTCTG